GTAGTCAGAATGTGCTGGGATAGCGTTACTTGCCAAAAGTGAAACTGAGTTAGATCCTGTATAAGTTAATAAAAAAATGGAGAGTCTTCAGCAGTGCAAATAGAACAGGAAAAGAAGAAGTAAGAGATAATCAAGGCATGACCATAATGTTGAATAAATTAGTCTCCTCTCTAGAGGAAAAGCTGACCAAGGGGGGCCAGAGATGTAATTGGCAGTGGGTTTTGGAAATTACCACAATATAGGTGGAAGCAAACTTCTGAGCTTATCATTTCTTCACTATTTGATTGCATTAATTTCCATCCCAGAATTAGGGAAAAATGGGCACATGGCACAGCAGGTCCAGGGAGGGCACTTTCAACAATCCTGTCTACTTCTGGATGTTACCATGCAAGCAAAGCAAGCGCTGTGCCCATGTTTAATAAGTGTTTGGGGATGAAGGGAGCAAATCCTGCCAGGTATGCATGCATACACGTGCACACATTTTGTAAAGGATCCCAACTGTCAGATATTTCAGTAGAGCATTTACTGTGTGGTGCCACGTGAGAAACTGCTTAGGCCAGAGAAGATGGGCTTAGTGGAAGTATGGTAAGGTGTGCAAGGATGCGGTTGAAAGAGAGATGACAACAGATGGACCAGTACTTCTCCCTTCAATTCTGAGAGGTATGGAGGGGGGGATTACTGGTGATGTTCTTCCAAGATTGATGTTGGGATTGATCTTGTTTAATAACTTCATTAGTGACCTTAATGCACACCATAGGAGTGTACTGACCGAGTTGGCTGATTACTCAAAGTTGGGAGGCACTCTTTAATACAGAACGGGGTAGGGAGAAATTCCACAGGAAGTGGATGGTCATAAGAACTGAAGTACAGTATACTCCTTTTGCATGCCTATTGGATAACTGCATAACATTTTGCTGGTCCTGGGTTGATAGATATTCCCTTTGCATCGTTTAAGAGCATAAACTATTTTAACTGCATATCGCTTTTAGTCCCGTTGTCCACTCTGTAACCTAATGGTACTGTGTTGTGTGAAACGGAGTAGGACCTATCAATTTGAAGACTGCTAGAGGCACTAGGTGTTCTCTGGAACAAGTTTTAAGAAGCCTTAATAAGATGTCTAGGGCAGGGGTGCATCATGTGTAGCCCTTCAGGGCAGGTGAAAGGCAATGTTCATACAAGAACAAATGGCTCAACATTGGTTGTAATTCTACCTAGGCTGGAAATTAGGAGAGGATTTCTGTCTGCCAGCACGCTGCAGGCTAATTTGTAACATAGCTCTGTGTCAAAGGGAGGGGGTATGCACAATGCAACTTAAATTTAGAGCTAGAACCCAGGAGAAATTTGCCAGTTAAAACTGAATAAGGATGCCAGCCAGGTGGGCAAGGGTTGCAGTTGCTTATTTCCCTGTGTTTGTGTTCCTCCGCTTGCATATTGACAACAGATGCACGAAATGGTAGACGGTCCTCCAATTCTGCTTTCAAGAAGAAGCAAGTATTGGATTATGCTGAGTTGTGTTCACATGGGGTTTCTGAGTCCAGGGTTCTCCAAAGAACTGAGGTTGAGGACAGCATTATAGCTGGACTGAAAACCCTGAATAGGCACGTAGAAGCTATGTTCCCAGATCTTATTGCAAGGTAGTGGGTGTGGGCATGGGTAAACAGTGTGGTGATAGGTAGGCAATTGGTATGAAGTTATCACTGTTTACGCTAAGCACAAGAGATCTCTATTTTAGCTTGACCCGTTCTGTTGAATGTAGAGTTGTGAGATGACAAATTTGCTGGAGCAGATGGCTTATTCATTAGTGTGTAAAGTATTCCCCCCCCCCCCCCCCCCCATGCTTCTGTCTGCCTTTTCCCACATACCATCTAGTTCACCTGGTATGTCTTTAATTTGAGCAATTGGAAGCAGTACCTGTCTTTCCACAGCTCTGCAGTGAAATGATGACCTGATTTAAGGCTTTTTTAGATACTAAAGCACTAGAAATGTTCATGTAAAAACAAATGGACAACAGCGCTACCAAATTAAGAAACTAAAATGTTGCTGGCTAATAGGTGAAATGATATCAATTTTGAGTGCGAGCGATTAAATTCACATCATGGTTAAGTTTGACAGTTTGTGTACCTGTAACTTTTTTTTTTAAGCTAATAAGTTGATTTGTTTTAAATACTTCTATGGTTAGGGTATTTAATTACTCTAGTGAAACATTGAAAGCTAATGTCTTGATCCACTGCATGTGTAAGGTAGATGTTTCACCAAAGTAAAGGTTACACAGCTCATACTTGCTTGTAAGCAAGCTTATCTAGTTTGAACCATTAGGGCAGATTTTTTTTTTTGTATTCCACAAAACCAGTTTGTTCTTAACAAAATTGCTTTAATATTATAATTTTTTGCTTAAATTTTGAGCCTTATATCTATGTTACAATGATGATCACAAGGCCCTGGACTCTCCTAAGCACCGAGTATTTAGAAAAATTTGAAGACTGACTCTGCAGCATCAAACTCACATTTTTAAGAAACTTTCTGTAACCAGTATAGAAGATCCATTTTGCTTCCTTCCCATTTCATTGTCTTAAATTGCTAAAGACCTAGGAATATGTAAGTTGGGCAGTATTAACATCTGGGTCTTTTTGGAAGTTGGATAAAAATGAAGGACTTGTACCTTCATAAAAAGAGGTTATTTTAATATGGCTTCAGATTAAATAGTGCAAGTATTTTAGTTAGCACTGCTCTTTCTGGTGTAATCATATGTAGATGTTCTAAGCTAATTGCTCTGGAAATGAACCATATATTGCCATGCACAGAGGAGGTCAAAAAAAAAAAAGAAGAGATATAAGGCGGAAAAAAAATCGGGTGGTGTGGGGGGCGAAATTTTTTTTTTTTTTTTTTCATTACAGAAAAATGCCAATGTATTTGAGTCTTTAATAGGGCCCTGTCTAGTCACTGCATCTCACAGAACATAGCAGAAAGAGAAGAGGAGCTGGGAACTGTAATGACTTCTGGCTAGAGCTCTAGGCGTTTAGAGATCTAGTCCGGCCTTCTGTACCAAGGCAGGACAGCTACACCTAGACCCATCCTGATGCATGTAAGAGCCCATTGGTCAAACTACTGATGGTGGAATAAAGAAATGCCAACTTCCGTACCAGGGGTTCAGAAAAGATGGTCAAAAGGTAAAGCAAACTTCTCTGGCCGGTTGCAAAGGTTGATGATGTATCTCTGGGTAACAGTCTACACTGTCTCTCTCAAAACGACATTCAGCTTGAAAATTTCTCCAATCAAATTATTCTTCTAAGTGCCCAAAATATTTCCCAAAATCATGAATGTAGATGCCTGAGTCTTTGCTTAGACCAGTGGCGGCCAACCTTTTTTGGCAGGCATACTACAGATTAGCTCCATATCTTCCCTGAGGGCCACTCCAATCCCCTTCCCCTGCCTGATCAGCTGCTCTGCCTCCTGCCCAATTTGCTGCTCTGTTTTCAGCCACCTGTCCTGTTTGCTGCTGCTGCTACCTGTCCCCTCCCTGATCTGCTGCATGCCACAGGCTGCTTCTGTTGGTTTTGGCACATATGCCAGGAGTGACCAACCTGTGGCACACCCCAGAATTAAGTGTGGTAGCACTTGGCAGCCTGTCAATGCCTGGTATAGAAAAGATATGGCGCTACCTATAACGTCTGAGCTAGTAAAATCTGTGTCCATAGAGAAAGGGCAAAAGTAGTAGTGGAATCGTTGTGTGACCCAAGTCGCCAGCCTCAGACTTTACACTTGCATTGAGAGCACTAATAATGACGAGTTGGAATTGCATATTTTAAAAGTACTAAACCAGTGGTTTTCAACCTCCTTAGACTATAGGCACCCCTCAGAAAACCAGCTCTTAGCTGTCACTTGCCTTTTTGACTGTGGGGAAAATTATTGAGCAATTTCCTCGGCAAATCGCAGAAAGATCACAATGGCTGTACAACAGAATGCTTTTGATGCTATGGATTCTTATTTTAAACCCACATTCACAAGATAAACCCACATTTATCTTGTGAATCATGTGTAGGTGTTTGCACACCAACAGTGCAGATCTTGCGCGGCAGCCGTTAAAAAGATTTTGTGGCACCGTAGTTGAGAGTCGCTGTTCTAAACTGTAAATGCATTAAAATGCGGTCTTTTTAAAGCAAAAGCTAGTGTAAGACCAGCTTCAATGGGTTGTGTTGCTTGCATTTAATTTATGAGCTCCTAACTAAATCTTAATGTCTTGGGTATTTCATCTGGCCTGAGTACCTTTGCCAATTTTAGTTGCTTGCCACTTTGAGAGCTGCATAAATAGGAGAAATAAATCTAGCATCTCTTTACATAAAATTTAGTTCTTCAGTTAGAATAATTTTACGTTCCTTACTTAAAATAGTAAGAAAATCTCTTTAGATTTGACCCTTACTTAAGGTGTTGGGTCTAATACAAAAATTGCTTTGTACATTCTTTGTGGCACCCTTCTTCTCAAGAAGTTAAATTGCATATATTTAGTGTACTGTGCTCGAATTCATAGAGAATACATAGTTGTCAGGCAATTGCTGTAGCATACTGGGTTAATAGATATTTAGGAATATGAATCACACTTCAGACTGAGTACCGTACCAATACTTCCTGCCTTGTCCTGTGGTGGTGGAGGTGTTGGTGACTTTATTATTATAGAAATGTAGCCCGTAAGTTTTTGGTCATCCTCTTGGAATAATAACAAGAACTGAAAGGGGACAGGCTTATAGCATAGTGGTCTGACTGTAATGACAGCTTGATCTTTCTTTTCATCCTCATCTAACTAACTTGCACTTAAAATGCAATGAATTTAGTTCCATACTAAGTTTCTTGTCTTATATTTTTGTTTTCACAAGCAGGTAGGCAGATAGATGGATATATCTCCCTACTTTTCTTATATTTTTGTTTGCTTTCTGATTTAACATTTTCTAGCCATGTTGGTAAGCCCAGAATTGCAGCACTGAATCTGAAACCAAAGTGACCTGTAAATGATGGTGGATAACTCCATTCAGGGTGGGAGAAATTTGCAGTGAGTTGTGGGAGTCACCATTAATAAAAAAATTAATAACGGTAAGGGAAACTTTTTTTTTTTTTTTTTTTTTTTTTTTGCACTTGCAACCAAATGTTAAAGTCTTCCTCTATTTAATAAGACCTGGTATGTAGTGTAATAATCATGTCCATGCATATCATCAAATTGTTCTAGCCTCTTTACTTGCATCAGGTCTCTGAAGGTTTTTTTAATATAGTCCAGGTATGATAAAAGGTAGGGGGGAGGCCACTCTTTGGGGCCCTTAAACATTAAGGAGCTGCCTTTGCAGGATGCCCATTACATAGGGGTGGGCAGGTCTCCTACTTCACAGTCGTCGGCTGAGATGTTCACAATCTTTCAGTCTCATGATGTGGATTCTTCTGAGCCATTAGCTGTTTTCCACAGCTGTGAGGGTCAGAAACAAATAGGCTGTATTTTTCTCGCGACTAATGCCAGAATTGGGACTTTATGTGAGTCTCTCTTGAAAGTTCAATTTTTATTTAATTAGTACTTCATTCTAAAGGGAAATAGGGTGTTTCAGACTAGACGGGAAATCAAGTCTCTCAGTCTCATCCTTTATCATCACACCACCTAAAACACATGTCTAATTCATAGTATGGGATTGCTTTGGGTGCAGAGATCAGGTAATTGATTTAAAACTTTAATATCATAAAGCATGTCCAAATACAGAATAATCTGCCTATTCTAGCACGTTAGTCGTTGCTATTTCATAGATGCTTAGGGTCGGAAGGGACTTCAGTAGATCATCGAGTCTGACCCCCTGCCCTATTTAGTGAGCTGTAGTATGATTCTTCGTTGACAATCCTGCCGCAAAATCAGGTAGTTGTCAAGTTTTAGTTTCTGTGTAGTTAGGATGGGAGAAAAGATGTTCCTAATGGTACTGAGAGGTTGGAACGCTCTCACTGGGACATGCTTCAGTAGCTTTGTAGTATGTTATAAAACTGGGCTGGGACACTGCTCAAATCTGGGTATGTTCACTTTGACAAAACTGTTGACGTGGAATTCCCTTATTGCCCTTGGGCTGCAAACATTCATCTGCCCTGAATGCAAGCTGTATTTGTAAATATTTTGGTTTTATATGGATGCACATTCAACTGCTGGTACTGTAAGTTTTGAAGGTCTTCAGCTATTTGTACAAGAAGTTGAACACTGGTTGCTGGTTTAACCACTAGTGTTGTATCCTTGTTTGAAGAGGCAGTTTGTTTTGAAATCCATACTTGGCTTCCTGTTTGACAGCAGCAGGAGAGGTTTTGTCTTTTCACATCGCCTTATGCATCTTGGGAGGAGGAAAGAAAGTCCCATCACTGGTTTTTAGGACCAGAGGAGAAGTCTTGATTTGACTGTTGGTTCTCTCTGAAACTTGTGATATTACAGGGCCAGAGCTAATTGTAACATCTAATGATGGAACTTTATCTTGCTGCTGCAAACCAGAGCTCTACAAAACAGCTCTACCATGCTGATTAAAGCCACAGGAATGTTGACCAATTTCCTGAACATCTGACTTGTGGCTCCAGTCTCTCAAACGCTTGGGCACTTAAGATTAGTCTAGACTTCTCGCTTAAAGGACAAGATATGAAGTACCTTTCCTCTGGAGAACTGGAATGATCTAAGTGACTTCAAAACCAGACTATGTGAATCTGTTGCTGCGTGTAAAACCACTTAAAAATGGACTAAACTGTCATAACAAAACAGTTGGTATACTTATGGCTTAATAGCATGTGGTAATAATTTTTCTCTAGAAAATACTTGCTTTAGATACCAAAAAAATAAGAGTAAATGACTTTTAGGAGGCTTTTGTTTTCTAATGAAGAAGAAAAAAAAAAAAAAAAGTAGGACATTTCACTCTTATTTTCTCCTGTTCAAACTGTGAACATCTGTAAGTGTACAAACAAGTGGCAGAAGTTGCTGCTGGTGTCTAAGTAGTTAAACCACTGGTTGGGAAATTGTTTGGAAAAGGCTTTTGAATGAATGATTTGGAAGAATGGTCTGTTGCGAGATCTCTTCTGTTAGTAAGCACTTCTGCAGAACTTGAGCTGTTGACTGCATGGAAATGCAACACAAGTTCTCAGTTGTGAATGAAAAGGCAGCTGTAGGAGAACGTACACTTGTTCGAAATCCTTTGAAGGGGAGGAATTAATCTAAGACCTTATTTAGTAACTAGTTCTCATGGCTAATTTTTTTTGTTTTTGCTTTTTTTTTCAGTGCCACAATGGCAACTGCACCTTACAACTACTCCTACATCTTTAAGTACATCATTATTGGTAAGTATAGACTTGCAAGATGCTTGTGATCACAAAACAAAAAAATATTGCCTCCAACCCAGAAAACAAAAAAAGCCCCAAAAGCCCAAACTTACTTGCATAGAAGCTTGCCTGTAGACACTTTAAGTATATTTAAACTACTAGTCAGTGCCTGTGGCCTTTTTAACTTTCAGTTAAATATGTATTCATATACAAAGCTCATTTTGTACATCTCAGCATGAGAAGAAATGCAGTCTTGTCCTTATCTTTTAGCCCCACAAAAATCCATTGGTGAATACTTTTACTGTGGTAAACATGAATTATTTACTGAAATTTGCCTACCTTTTTGCCTTCTGAGCATTACTTCCCTTGAGTAGTTTAAATTGCATTTGATTTATCCTCCAGAATTTTGACTTCTAGTTTCCAAGCACTTGCATCTTTGTAGACTTGGTTTTCTGGTGCTTGTTAAACATAGTATAGTTAACCTTCTTTGGATATGGGAAATTGAATAGGCTTGCAGAAATATTCACTCTCTAAAGAATATACCACAACTGTGAAAACAAAGCAGATGGCCACAGTTGGATCCTTTAGCTACTCTTTTTGGGCATGTTAGTTGCTCTCTGAAAAAGAGCAGCAAACCAATATGGTTTTTGCACTTAAGCTAACTGAGTACTGAGAGGTGCTTTTGGAGAGGACCGTGCATGTGCTTTTGAATGAAGAGTGCAGATACTCATTCTCTGAGCAGGGTGAGGTTGTTTCTCTCTCTCTGTTACATTTTTTGCAATATGTCAAGTCATTAGCTCTTTTTGGCTGCCTTTTTAACCCCAATTCAGTGTCGAGAGCCTGAGAGGAGCCAGGCTTGTCCTGGTTTCCTGCTTCTTCCTCCTGGCATCTTCAACAGAGCCACCTAGACTTGAAGTCAGAGCAATGTCTGGGGTTGCTCTAACTTGGTATTGCAGACTGTCAGCCTATGGACAGGGCAGGAGGTACACCTTTCCATATACCAAACTCTCTTTGGATGAGAATTGAGCATCTAGGTCACCGTCCTTGGCTCTAGCTTGACCTCTGTGTAGGTTTGATAGGAAATCAGTACAGACTTTACCTGGGTGGCCAGGGATGACTTTGCATACTACACTTAAAAAGAACCCACCTCTGTAAAAGGCAAGTCTTTGTAAGAACAAGTCTTCAAATCTGTAACAGACAGTTTCATTTTTAAAAACTAATTTCTGAATCTGCAATAGAAACCTCCAGAGCAGGGGTCAACAGCCCCCGGCGCACATGCCAAGCATGGCACACAAAACCATTTTGCTCGGCACACCACCGTCAGCCTGGGCTCTAAGCAGCTGCTGCCAGCCACGAAGCCCAGGCTGCTCCCAGCAGGCAGCTAGGAGGCTGCAAGCAGACTAGGCTCTGTGGGCCCCAGCTGCTTCCGGTGTGTCGGCACTCCGGCACCTTCCAAGGTAGACATGGTTTTTTCGGGACTCCGGCCAAAAAAATGTTGCCTACCCCTGCTCCAGAGAATGCTTGCAGTATGGAGATGGTGCTACTATAACAGATGTTTTGTACAGCTTGTTTCACTGACCTGTTGGACTCTGTAAGTGGTACTGGAAGTGTGTGGGGAAATCTGAAAAAGGGTTTTTAATAGCTTCCTAGTAAAAGGCGCTTGTGCTTCAGTGTTGCTATAATACATGTGTACCAGTACCTGGGTGTGACTACACAGCATACAATTTTAGAGTAGAAGGTGGGTGCAGATGGCTTAAACCTCCAGTATGCCCTTTAATTCTTTGCTGTTTCAAGCATTGTACCATTAAAACAAATTTCTCCCACCATTGAGCAGGCAAAAAGGCACCCAGCAGTGCAAACAAAGGCCTGCAAAGGTACATGTAAGAGTGCCACAGCAACACCACTGTTAGGGGAATACTCCCCTCTTGCTCCCTGGGTGCTGCAAAAGCAGCACAGGGGCTGAGTGGTAGGTGTATGGGAATATCAATTTTTTTTTTTGGGTTTGTGCCAGTGTTTGAAGTTGGGGCATTTTGGGTCCAGCAGACATGGGCTTCAGGTAATTACATGAACAGAACAGTTGTAGGGATAGGGTGCATAGCCAATGGGAGCAGCTGTTAGAGGGAGGTGTGGCACGTGCTGGGCCAGGACACTTGAGCTTTGCCCTAGGCACTCAAATCGCAAGATTTTGTTTTTTGTCGTAGTCCTGCTGTACTGTCCCCTGTACTGGATGCATGGGGCTTTGTGGTTTATTGGGGTGCTGAAGCTGGTGTCCTCCTTGAAGGCTTGGCTCTTAAAGTTTTACCAGTAACAGTATTCCTGCATGAAACTGATTTTTTATTTTTTTGGTCATATTCTTTCTTGCCTGTGAATGAAGTAGTAGGGAGGACACACACATGAAGGACAGTAATGGGGTGGAACATTGCCTGTTGTCTGGAATAGCATAGCAGGGCTGAACAAACCACTTGTCTGGCAAATTTTAAGTGATTTTTAAATTGAAGAAAATGTAGCTTCTGAAACCACTTACCAGCACAGTAACTGTGTTTTCTGTAACAGGGGACATGGGTGTAGGAAAATCCTGCTTGCTTCATCAATTCACAGAAAAGAAATGTGAGTATTTTCTTTCAAAGCCTCGGTGCTTGCCTTGTTCCTATTCCCTTGCCTTCCTGGTTTTTAAAGCTCTCTTCCAGTGCATATGCTTTGACTCTGCATGAACACAGGTCTCAGTTATTCAGTATTTGTGAATGCAGCCTCCTCCTTGGAGTTGCTGTTTGGCCCATTGGTTCATTTGTATATCTGCAGCCACTGCTGAGCTGCCTGGTGCCTGTCAGGTCACCTGCATGACTTCCTGTCAAGAAATCGAGACCGGGATATTCCTTTTTATCATTCCTCGCCGCATGTATACATGTGGACAAGAGGACACTACATGATAGCTCTAAGAAATAGAGCAAACATCAAGGCTAGGTGGGGTTTATGGGTAAAGCTTAAACTTTTATACTCCCACACTCACATTGCTGTTATTTCTAGCACACTGAGCTCTTCTGTATTCTGGCAGCTTTGAGGATAGGTGGTAATTTAAACACACCATTAGTAATGAGTTGCACTCTCCTTCCCTACCAAAAATCAAAGGCACCATTTTACTTGCTAAAAACATCAGTTTTTCATAGCTGACCTTGAATCGTGGCTGCTTTTCAGCATGATCCTTGCTTTAAAAGGTATAGTAACTGGCTTTACTGCAGTGTCCTTTATGCCACGTTAGCAACATGGTATGATTAACAGAAGCAGTACTTGAGTGGATGCTGCTAGTACAACTTGCTTCAGTGGTATTGGAGTCTGGCTGTTCTTGAGCTTCTTACGGCTCTCTGGGAAGCTTACTTCTAGTAAATAGCATACCTGTAAGAACTGCAAAACTTCAGCTAGAAGAGCAGCTAAATGTCCTTGATGTGCTCGGCGTGCTCCTTTGAATGGATGTTGGCTATAAATTGAGTGCTCTTGCTAAGTGACAACTGGAAGCCTTGAACGGTGTCCATTGCAAACAACATTTTAATAAGAAAGGCAGAGCCAAGCAGTCTCTTCTGTGTGGTGAAACTCTTGATGAGACAGTAGCTTGTTTCACTGACATGGAGTTAGTGGGTATAAAATAATGCTGAAGCCAGGCAAGATAGATATACACACACATAATTACACACATTAGATTATATACATATATTATCCCTAAAGCTGAATCCTTTTTAAATGCAATAAATTGTCATGCTTCAGGCTGTATGACTATCATCAGCAGATGGGGTTAATAAGTCTTACCTTATTCGGTGTCTGTCTAAAAGTTTTTCCTTGCATGTTCAGAATCGGTATTTTATGCCCTTATGAGATGCGGTATGAAGAGTGGGTGGATTTTTGATCTGATCCAGATCTAGTTAGTTATGAGGTTATAGAGGCTTTCAATCACATATTGGCAATTTAAGTGTTTTCCTAATTCTTACACAACTGTTGTTCTTTCTAGCGTGCCTCAAGTTTAAAATTATTTTCACAATGGTATTTTATTCCGAAAACTAAATTCTCCGATTTAGAGCATACATTGCCAGGCGGATGTTGCATGTAATACATTTTCTGAGCAAAATGGTCATTGCTTTCTTAATGCTTGGTGAAACTCTAAAATTACCACTGCGCGAAAGACGTGACCCCTCTTCCAGTGTCTCTTACTTAACCCTGGTAAAAGTTGGGAAGAGGTGTAATGTAGATAAGATTTGTTGTGTTTTGTTTTTTTTGTTAGTCCCCCCCCCCCATGAAAATAAATTATGCTGGAACTCTGCTCTGCGGAAGAGAAGACTGCTGGTAGAAAGATCTGAACTTTTGATTTATCTTTGTGACAGTTATGGCTGATTGTCCTCATACAATTGGTGTTGAATTCGGTACAAGAATAATTGAAGTTAGTGGCCAAAAAATTAAACTGCAGATCTGGGATACAGCGGGACAAGAACGATTTAGGGCTGTAACACGAAGCTACTACAGAGGAGCGGCAGGAGCTCTCATGGTCTATGATATTACTAGGTAAGGTATTGATGACTCTCGCCTGTAGATTTTAGCCGTAAACTATCGCAGGGGCATGACTAGCAGCTTTTCTCTTTCAAAATTGTTGGGATGTGGCTTTTCCGAGATGTTCTGTGTGTATGTGAGACTGACTGAGGTTCTGTCCCCTTGGGTTTTTTTCCCCCTAAACTTGGTTCAGTTTTGGGATGGTGAATTTGGATTATAAAACATCCCTTTTTCTTTCCCTGATAATTCTGAGAATCCACCCCCTTTTAGGCCAGATCTCCCTCAGCTAATTTAGCTATCTTGCTTGAAAGGTGGTACTTACTGTCTGTCTGACTTAAGCAATTAGAAGCTCACTTCATAATACAGATGGGATGAAATGTACTTCCTTCAGGGAGAAACTAATGTGAAATGCTGGGGCATTGCATTCTGTATTGGCCTATAAACATGCTTAATAAAAGCATATGATGACCCGTTCTAGCTAATAACTGTCCTTGGCATAGCTGACACTGAGGAGGTCTAGGCTTTCCTGCATTGAGGGAATAGTGGGGACCTGATAGCAGGATGAATGCATACAATCCCCGAGGTAAAGGAGGGCTCTATCTGTTGAATATGCAAAGACCAGGTACCCTGAAGGTTAGTGAGATGACTCCACTGACAAGTTTTCACAGTAAAACTGCAGTCTCAAATTGCACTCCCAACTGCAGCTCACTTGCTTAGTTTAACATATTATTTACAGTTTGACTGCCATACTGCTGGTTTGTCTTACCTGCCCCGTTGCATGTTGTACGCAGAAAACATCTAGACTTCAAACATCCGATTTTGAATTGAGGCATGTCCAGAAATGCGTGCTTTCTCAAGAGTAGGGCGTGTGGCCTTTCTGAATGTCCCCAGTGCTAGAAATATGTCCCTCTTTTGCATACGCTTAGAAAACCAAGGGCAGGTCTTAGTTTATTTCTGCCCAAACACTGAGCGGGCACGTGTGCCCAGTCTTTATGTCCTACCTTGCCACGTGTCAGAGATGTGGGTCGGAAAATTTTCCAGTGCTTTATTTTTCTGTGGGAAATTTTCCGTTTCTAAAAATTCATTGTTTCATAAAATGTATTGGTAGCAATGAATGGATGTCAGTACAATATTAGGCAAGCGTGGCAGTTTTGAAGTTGTCATGAATGTTTTTTCAGGTGATTATCCCTAGGAAGTGTGTGAGAGAGTACGTATATGTTTGATTGATTTGTAAACAGGAGGGTAAGTACACTCGCGTAATAATCCAAACCAAAAATCAAGTTATGAATTCACCCACTTGGCTGTGCAGGGCAAAGCAAAGCCAAAGCATGGCTTATCATGCACAGTTCTTTGGGCGTGCTAAAATTGTGATGGGTCAACAGTTTTTTCAGTGCCTTTGCTTGTTTAAATTTAAGGAAAATAATGTAAGGGAAGTGCATGTTATTATGTGTTTCTTTACATTTTTACAAGTATTCCAGTAAAAATAACTTGGTTCCACACACAGCTTTGAATTTGTTTGAATATAACATTTGATTAGGAAAACATTAAACATTTCAGTTCGAATACTTGTGGCTATTGGACACAAAATTAACACGGGGGTACTTTTTCGGTGCTGTTTACTAAATATAAATCAAATAAATATGCTAAATCAGATCATGCTCTATTTAGGGCAATGGAAAATTTTCCAATTCAAATTTCTCCGGAAAACCCACATCTCTGCCACATGTACCATTGGTGTGGCTCCGGGCACGCACCAGCGTCCTCTCTCTAGCTCCACACGGCAGTAGCATAGGCCTGCTGTAAGGAGCTAGCTTTTCCTCATTGAGAAAATAATGGTGGGTTTCATTTTCATAGCTTCTGCTACAGCTTCCCCCTGGCTCTTAGTCTCCTGCAGCCAAGATGTCTTGTCATGCAGGAATGATTAGGAAGAGCTTGCCAAGTCTAAGCAGTCTGAAAACCATCCCATGTGCGAGTGACTACAAGGTAGCAGTTCCTATTCCCGGAGTGCCTTGCAGAGGTTAAGAGGCTATTTTCTTTCTAAACTAATGTCCCCTGCAGGGACTGCAATGAGAGTCTCAAAGGAGGTCAGAATTAGTATTGTAAATGAAAGTGAAGTCATAAAACGACGGTCTGTGTTTCCCTAATTTGAGCAAGCAATGGTGTTCTGTTCAGCATGCAGCAAATGAAAAAACTGTTACAAGCAGAACCAGATATTGTAGAAAGGCCACAGAGGACCGGGGGGCGGGAATTAAGAAACCTGAAAGCGTTGTGTGCAGTTTCCCTGGCGCTACATAAGTGGAGATGGTGCACACAACTTGTCCTCTGGTCTAGGGTTCTGTACTTCTGATGCCCTCCATTCGGTGTGCACAGATGAAAACCTAGAGATGAAGGAAGGAGTACTCTCATGCAGGGTTAAGTAAGCAGTATATTGCAGTCAAATGTCCCTTAGGAGTACTGACGAGAAATCTTTTAATACATTTTACACAACACAGTGTCCTTCATGAAGCACGGGTTCCTGAAGAAAGCAGCAATGTCACATTTGAAGTAGGAGTCTGCCTGTGCTGATACGGAGAGAGTTAGTTTTGTTTTTAACGGCCACGCTGAAACGGAGTAGAACATAATACTTCCTGTGGGGGGTGGGAGTGTTACTTTTGGGGGGGAAAACACCTACCGAATAATATGCTGCGGCGTTGAGGTGATGTACAGGAACTGCCGTCTAGTTAAACTTACTGCATGTGATTCTTTGCAGAAGAAGCACGTATAACCATTTAAGCAGCTGGCTGACAGATGCAAGGAACCTCACCAATCCAAATACTGTAAGTTGGAAGGCTTTGTTTTGTGTTTAAGACACTTGCATTAAAGGTCGTGCCCAAAGCAAGATTTGCAGTGTTGGAAGTACCGTCAGTTCACAGAAGTAACGGTTTAAATAAACTTACTGCTCTGCCCCGGCACATGCAGCGAGTTCATGCTTCCCCAGCCTTTATTGCTAGGGATCTATTTTGCTGCATTTAACCTGTGGGATAACTTTATTTGGGTCAGTGTTAGACCCCCTCCCCCAAGTGTCAGAATTTAAATATAACTTTGGATAGTTTCTCCGGACAAAGACTCGGTGTCTTTCTCCCAGTTTTTTTGTCTCCCCTTAAAGGCCTTGGGACTTTCCCTTAATCTGTCGCATGATTCTAGTCTTCAGTTTCTTGCGTTACACACAGTGTTTTGAGACGTAGTTGTTTCTGAGGGCACCAAATCTGAAAGAGAAGTTGCAGCAGCACTTCCAGCCCTGTGATCTCAGCCTGGAGTGTGAAAGTCAACCAGCAGGTGCAGTTGAATTTCAGGAGTCCTTTTCCGCTGTCTTGCCCTTTGTAATAGTGAAAGAAAAAGGGTGAGTGCTGGCCAGATCAGTAGATGATTCTGGATACGCACACGAGATGTAAATTAGGGACCGCTTTCATATAGGCTGGCGTCCTGTCCCGTCTCTCTTTCCCCTCCCCCTGAACTACCCATATTTTAACGCCCTTTTGTCATGAGAATCCTGCAGTAGTAAAGAGTTGAATGCGGCACCCAAAGGCTGCCCCCCCGTCCAAAGCCTTTGCTGTTAAAAGCTCTCTGATAGAGGGACTGTGATAGAAGAGCAGTTAAACTCTTCCAAGGCTAACTTCTTTTGTTCTGAACCAGGTGATAATCCTCATAGGAAACAAAGCAGATCTGGAAGCACAGAGAGATGTTACATATGAAGAGGCCAAACAATTTGCTGAAGAAAACGGTGCGTTTCTTTTTGAGCTATTACATTTCTGACTAGCCGTGTCGATGTGAACCTTCAGCTCCGGTAACTGCAAGCTGTTGAAAGTGTACTACTTCCAGAGTAACACGGCGGAGGGTGAACTTCTGCTATCTCTTGTGAGCTCATCTTGGCTTAATTTTAACTTCTGCTTACTTTTAATAAAAAAAAAAATGCTTGCAGATAGATGTCCTAATTTTAAACTTCATTGAAGTATTGCTATACAATATCATCATTACCATGCAAGGCATCAGTCTGTGGATGGCTGTAGTGACTGGGGTATTGGTCTCTTGAACAGAAAGCATTTCTTGCATCTTAATTGTCGATTTTTATTTCCAACTAGGTTTACTGTTCCTTGAAGCAAGTGCAAAAACGTAAGTGGTGGGTCTAATGCCAAATAGGAGTGGTTGCTGCGTGCTAACAAGCAAAGCGGACTGTTTGTCTCTGGGGAAATAGGATCTTTCCGTGGGGGGGGCGTATAGTTGGGTTTTTTTATAACACGGCATGTTGGGGATTTGTAAGCACCAGCAAATGATGCTTCATGGATTGGCTTGTGATAAGATAACATCACAAGGTAGAAGGAAGCTTGGCTTCTGGTTCCACTTCAATCCATCTTGCTCCTGACTTGGAGTTGTACGGTGGCGGCTCTTGTACTTCTGGCCCACCTTGCAAGCAAGCCTGTGACCTGTTCTAGCAGACTGATAGGGCATCCCCGGGAGTAGGGACAGGAAATTAATATTGATTGCAACACTTCCACGAGGGGCAGGAGGGGGGGCACTTCATTTGTGCACGTGCTTTTAGCTGCAAATTGACTTGAACTGCCCAAACGCTTATATTGCTGTAGTGGGTTTTGTAAGTGGGGTCCAGGTGACCTCTGCACTTGGCAGTAGGCACACGTGTCTTTGCAGGTCTAACAATACTCTAACTAGAGGCCTGCCATATCTTCTTGCAAAGCTAGGACGTGCTGTTCCATAGACTGCATTAGAGTTGGAAGGACCCACTGACACACGCTTCTGGTCGCTCTTAAGGGAGCGAGAAACTTGGACAGAAACAGCAAGATGCTTTTCATGGTATTGGCAAAATCCAGTCACAGTACTGTCACAAATCCAGTCTCTTCACAAATCGGCTGGAGGCTGCACAGATTTGTGTGGGAAAGCTGCCTGCTTTCTTGCATAGCTTCAAGGAACCTGAGCTTCCCCCGTCCTCAGGAGCTGGGCAGCCCCAGCTTTCAGGCTTTTTGCTTCCTGGGAGCCTTCTAGGAGCACTGCCCCAGAGCTCCCATGAAAGCAAGGCAGAGAGAAGTGAGTGATTTGTAAAACAGTTGGAAAAGGGTGTTTGTTTTTTTCCAAACAGGAGCGCAGTCCCACTTCTGCTTTTTAGAATAACAGTTCCCCTCCAGGTCCTGCCATTACGTAGCAGCCGTGCTAGCGGAGCAGTAGTCTGCAGAGACCCAATATGCAAGTTTTAACTAGTGAGAACTCGAATGGTGGCAGCTTCTTGCTGTTCTGCCCGCTTCTGTAGTCCTTCGTTGCAGTTAGAAAAAACCATTGGACATCTTCTAGTACAGCTGCTTGTGCCACATAGCCTACGCTAAAGCGGAGGTAGTCTGAAATCCCCCCCTGCTTCAAAGGTGAAGTGACGCCTGCTTTCTTTCCCTGAAGCTGGCAATAACTGCACCTGAAAACCATCAGCGTCTTAATTCTACTTTATCAAAAATGTCCGTGCCAGTAGGTGCTCAGGGTGCCTAACAGTGGATTGCCTGCAGCACCTGTGTGCGCGGTCGCTCTTTGAACATAAGACCCAGCAAAACTTCTGTTGTCATGTCTTGTCTGCTGGCTGGAGGACTGGGTGGCTTTTGGATCGAAGTCTAGACTTGCCTAGGCTGCAGTGCAGTGGACACGAGAACTGACTTTGTTCTGTTTTTTTTAAGAGGGGAGAATGTGGAGGATGCATTCCTGGAGGCGGCCAAGAAAATCTACCAGAACATTCAAGATGGAAGCCTGGACCTGAATGCCGCAGAGTCGGGCGTACAACACAAACCGTCAGCTCCGCAGGGGGGGCGGCTAACCAGCGAACCCCAGCCTCAGAGAGAAGGCTGCGGCTGCTAGTGACATGTTCCACGGCTCCATTTCTGACCTTTCACCTCTGTCTGTTGGAAGCAGTGCTTTTGACTGCTTCATCGTCTTCTGTACATCTTATTGGGTTTAATTAAAACTCTGAGACAACAATTTAACACAGTACTAAACTGCTAAACAACTTTAGATGTAATCAGGTTATCAGAAGCAAGTAGAGTAATAAACCTCTCCTGCATGGTAAATTAGAAGTTTTTTTTTTCTTTCCTCCTTGATTGTCCTTGTGATAGTGTCACCAGTACATGATTTAAACTGAGCACTGATGCTGGACTCATGATTTCATACTTTTTTGCAGGGCTTTGTCTTCTGGACGGTTTAATTTTCTGCTCTCTTCAGCCTTTCTGCCCCACCTGTAACTTCTCAAGCTGTCTATAGTAACAGATAAGTTTATTTGCTGTGAAATGACTTCTGATGGTAGAAAAGGGGCTCTGAAACCATGTGCTTTTGTTGGAGGGATTCCCTGTGGCGCGGGCAGTGGGGGCGAGGAGATGGTTTGCAGGAGGAGACGACGGACTGCCATCTTAGCCTAGCACA